TTGAAAAATTCCTCTGATGGATGTAAAGGTCATGCTATTGAGTGAAGGTAATTTCTGTACTGGGTTGTAAAATTTTCATGTTTTCTGTCTTTTTATTTAGTCAGTGAACCAGCACTATTAACACATACCTATAGGTCGGTGATTTCCAATTTGCTATTTATTGCTACTAATGTGCATCTTGCTTTCTCAAAGCAGCCATATAAGCCATTTTGTTTCTCATGTCTCTTCCTATGAACCTTATTATCTAATCATTTTCAGGATAATAGATTATATAGGCAGCCTTTTTCAATTTAAGATTTTATTTTTAAGTAATCTCTACACCCAACATGGGGCTCAAACTCACAACCCTAAGATCAAGAGTCAAACGCTTCACCGACTGAGCCAACCAGGTACCCCTCAATTTTTAGTAACTTTTTATGGTCTCCCTTTGATGAACTTGTTTGCTAGTGTATGATCCCCCCGTTCTAAGCAAACTTTAGTGAGAAAAGCTTGTAGTTTCCTAGACATTTGGCAGCCATTGTCTTTCCCACCCCCATTATCCTATTAAATTCTGAAAGCTGTAAGGACAATGGAAAGACAGCCTTCAGTAGCTCTGAAACCTTCCATTCTGATTATAAGAAAGGATCAGGCTTCTAGAAAAGAGATCAAGTTTCTTTCAGCTCCCGGGTCCAGGTTAATAAGCAGTAGAGTTAAATAAGCATCTGTCCAACTGACCCCCGCTGCCCCAGGTGCCTTCTGTGGTACTTCTCATCCTTCTGTTTATCCTATCTTAATACAGACTAAAAAATGGTTTTCAATATCTAATGTAAAATTCTTTTTATTGTCATCCACACTGTTACTCTGCCTCTACCTATTTGCCCAGGTATCTCTCTTGCCTGTTTTTCTTTGATGACGTGTGTCATAAAGTACTATGAGGGCCACGTTTACTTTATGTTGCATTTACTGAGAAGCACAAAAAAGGTCGTTCCATACTTTTCAGGTGTTCCGTAATTGTCTCTGATGTCTATAAAACATCCTGTGTAAATCGTTTCTGCTAAGTTTGTATTGCAAACACATTTTGAAATGGATTTTACCAGGATCCACCACACCATTTCACTATGGAAACACTGGTATATATCACACAATGTGACATTCAAGATTTATTCCTTAAATTCCAGAATAATGCTCAAAGGAATCTATTTTATATCTGGTTATCATTCCATTTGTTGTCCTGTGAGGAAGGCAGACTGAGATATTATTATCTCATTTTCCAGATGAGGAAGTGGAGACATGGACAGAGATGATTAAATGAGACAGCACATGAAAAAATATCTGTGACGGGGCGCCTGGGTGGCTCAGTTTGTTAAGCAACTGCCTTCGGCTCAGGTCATGATCCTGGAGTCCCAGGATCGAGTCGCACATCGGGCTCCCTGCTCAGCAGGGAGTCTGCTTCTCCCTCTGACCCTCCACCCTCTCATGCTCTCTATCATTCTCTCTCTCTCAATAAATAAATAAAAATCTTTAAAAAAAAAAAAAAGAAAAAATATCTGTGACAGAGCCTGTTATGTATGTAGGTGTGTGGGTACATATACATATAGACACACACACACACACAAATATATATATTTGCAATGAGGGGGAGAGCATATTTTTTTCTCTTCAAAAGAATATACTTATCAAAAAGGAAATTAGTGGCAGATCTAAAACTAAAGCTACTTAACTTCTAGTCTAGTCTTTCTAGTAAACTCTATTCAGATGACACAGATGACATTTCTGTATTTGGTTATTATTAGCTTTCCACACTCAGGACAAACTACTATCTATTACAGTAGTTCATTTTTAAAAACGTAATCCAGAGATACTATAGGGACACTTCCTTAAACTTTCTGTTCTTTATACATTTCTACTGCCATTACATACCATTTTGACTTTTTTTTTTTTTTTAAAGATTTTATTTATTTATTTGACAGAGAGAGAGAGAGACAGCGAGAGAGGGAACATAAGCAGGGGGAGTGGGAGAGGGAGAAGCAGGCTTCCCGCCGAGCAGGGAGCCCGATGCGGGGCTCGATCCCAGGACCCCAGGATTATGACATGACCCGAAGGCAGACGCTTAATGACTGAGCCACCCAGGCACCCCCATTTTGACTTCTTCTTGAGATCTCTTTCCCTAACAGGGAAAGTCTTGGGCCAAATTTTGGTTTGGGTGAAGTTTGGCTTTGTTTTTGTTCTACCTTCTCTTCTGATTCTTCTCCTACTTCTTATGTGAAAGCCCATATTCCATGAAAATCAGTTCATGGGCAGCAACAGCAGGTAAAGGAATCTGATTAGGACAGTGAAGTATGAGTCAGAGACCAGAAACGCCACAGAAAAAAAGACTTTCAAGCAATTAGGAACTGGGAGGAGTTGAGTATCTGAGTGAGGGTTAACAAGCTGGAGTTTGACAGTAAGGAAGCAGGGCAGAGCAGACCAAACAAGAACATGAAACCAGTGCAGAGAAAATGCAAAATGCCTGGCACCTTCAATCACTCTATTCCTTTTACTATGGTAAATTCCAATCTAATGTGACACTGACCTAGAATCCTATCAGTAGTAGTAATTCTAACAGTTGGCTAGCTGACCAATCAATTTGGAGTAAAGTGCAGTCACAGTTCTTTTGGCAGAGGGTTTTCTTTATTCTGGTTGTTAAAATAGATGCAATTACATTAATTCATTCTAAAGCAGGGGAAACTAGGGCGCCTGGGTGGCTCAGATGGTTAAGTGTCTGCCTTCAGCTCAGGTCATGATCTCAGGGTGCTGGGATCGAGCCCCGCACCAGGCTCCCAGCTCTGTGCGGGGCCTGCTTCTCTCTTTCCTTCTACTGCTCCTCCTGCTTGTGCTCTCTTGCTCTCTCTGTCAAATAAATAAATAAAATCTTTAAAAAATATAAAGAGGGGGAAACTGATCTTTAATTTATTACGCTCTCAAAAATAGTATGTTTTGAGGAGAGAACCAAAGCAACAACTTCTCCAAGTATATTCTTTGGCATACTGACTCCTGCAGTTTAGCTGAATGCTCCAAATGAAAAAAAGGATTCTGTGGCAAAAACTTAGGGAAATGCTGCATGACCCTCTTACTAGAAACATTAACATATTAAAGGTTCTGAGAAGTCTTGCAGTAAATATATAAACTCATTTAATTTTATTTACTGTTATGTTTAGTGCTTTTAATGTCCTGTTCAAGAAATCTTTGCATACCCAAGACTGCAAAGATATTTTCCATTGTTTTTTTTTTTTCTACCATTCTGGTTCTGATTGTTATGTTTAGATCTATGATCAATGTCTATTTAATTTTTGTATGGAGAGATAAAGATGTGACAGTTCTTTTCGTACTTTCCCATAAGAAAATCCATTTGATTCAGCAACATGTTTAAAAAGACTCTGTTTCTGGAGTGCCTGGGTGGCTCAGTCCGTTGAGTGTCCAACTCTTGATTTCAGCTCAGGTCATGATCTCAGGGTTGAGAGATCAAACCCCGCATGGGGCTCCCGGCTCAGCAGGCAGTTTGCTTGAGACTCTCTCTCACCCTCTCCCTCAGTGGTCCTCGCCTCCCCCCATCTTCCTTCTCTCTCTCAAATAAATAAATCTTTAAAAAAAAGACTCCCTTGGGGTGCCTGGGTGGCTCAGTCATTAAGCGTCTGCCTTTGGCTCAGGTCATGGTCCCAGGGTCCTGTGATCAAGCCCTACATCGGGCTCCCTGCTCCATGGGAATCCTGCTTCTCCCTCTCCCACTCCGCCTGCTTGTGTTCCCTCTCTCCTGTCTCTCTCTCTCTGTCAAATAAATAAATAAAATCTTTAAAAAAAAAAAAAAAAAAGACTCCCTGGGGCACCTGGGTGGCTCAGTCGTTAAGCATCTGCCTTTGGCTCAGGTCACGATCACAGGGTCCTGGGATCGAGTCCTGCCTTGGGCTCCCTGCTCTGCGGGAAGCCTGCTTCTCCCTCTCCCACTCCCCCTCCTTGTGTTCCCTCTCTCACTGTGTCTCTGTCAAATAAATAAAATCTTTAAAAAAAAGTAAAATAAAAATTAAAAAAAGACTCCCTATTGAATTAACTTGCCACCTTGATCAAAAATCAATTGACCTTATGTTTGTGGGTCTATTTCTGGATGTGCTATTCTGCTCCACTGATAATTCATCTATTCTTAGGGCAATAGTTCATTGTTGGTAATAGTTAATAGCTTTACAGTTAAATCTTGAAATCACGTACTATAAATCATCCAACTTGTTGTTCCTTTTCAGGATTGTTTTAGCTATGCAATGTTTATTGCATTATCAGATACATTTTAGAATCAGCTTGACAATTTCTTCAAAAACACCTGCTGGAATTTTGATAGGAACTGCACTAGATCTATACATTCACTTAGGGAGAACTGGCATCTTAACAATTTTGAGTTTTATAATCCATGATCATGTTTTGTTTTTTTAAGATTTACTTTATTTATTTATTTATTTATTTATTTATTTATTTATTTATTTATTTTACAGTAGGCTCCATGCCCAATGTGGGGCTTGAACTCAGGACCCTGAGTCAAAATGTTATCTGCACACCCATAGTCGTAGCAGCATTATTCATAAGAGTCAAGAGGTGAAACAATCCAAATGTCCATCAATGGATGAATGGATAAACAAAGTGAGGTATATAATGGAATATTATTCAGCCTTAAAAGCGAAGGAAATACTGTCATTGCTGCAACAAAGGTGAAACTTTTTTTTTTTTTTTTAAGATTTTATTTATTTATTTGACAGAGAGAGACACAGCGAGAGCAGGAACAGAAGCAGGGGGAGTGGGAGAGGGAGAAGCAGGCCTCCTGCTGAGCAGGGAGCCCGATGTGGGACTCGATCCCAGGACCCTGGGATCATGACCTGAGCCGAAGGCAGACGCTTAACGACTGAGCCACCCAGGCACCCAACCAAGGTGAAACTTGAGGACTTTACACTAAGTGAAAGAAGCCAGTCACAAAAAGACAAACACTGTATGATTCCACTTACATGAGGTATCTAAAGCAGTCAAACTCACAAAAACAGGAAGGAGAATGGTGGTTGCCAGGGTCTAGAAGGAGGAGGAAATGGGGAGTTGTTATTTAGTGGGTATAGAGTTTCAGATTGGAAGGTGAACAAGTTCTGGAGATCTGTTTCACAACAATGTTAATATACTTAATACTGTTGAACTGAACACTTAAAAATGTGAATGGTGAATTTTATATGTTTATCACAATTTAAAATTTAAAAATTATTTTTAAAAACTTTAACACGAATTTTATTATGAATTCTAAAAAAAACTATGCTGAAAACATTTTTTAACCTATCAGATTGGCAAAAACCCAAAAGTCTGATAACTCTCTCAGTTGGCAAGGATATGGGAAACAGTACTCTTATTCATTGCTGGGGGAGTACAAATTGGTACAATCCCTATGGAAGTAACTAAGCAATATTTATGGCACCTATTATACTCTCTGAATTTAATCAGAGATATACTGTATGCATGTATAAAATGATATATGCACAGGTTGTGAACTTCAGCACTGTTTATAACAGGAAGATACTGAAAACAACCAATATGCCCATCACTAGGTGATTGGTTAAATAAATTACAGTATGTCCATACAATGGAATACTATGCAGCTATTTAAAAATGAGGACACTTGGAGCACTGGGTGTTATGTACATACAATGAATCATGGAACACTTCATCTAAAATTAATGATGTAATGTATGGGGATTAACATAAGAATAAAAAAAGAAAAAAGAAAAAAAAGAAAGAAATAGTAAATAAATATTTTAAATATTTAAAAAAATAAAATAAAATAAAATAAATAAAAATGAGGACACTCTCCACATACTTATATGAAAAGAGATTCAACATATATTACAAATTTAAAAATTAAGAACAGTAATGTATAACAGTATTAGTAAAAAGAGAAAGGTAAGAATCTGTGTATACATTTATGTTTCCTTGCATACACATCAAGAAACTCTGGAAGGACACATGGAAAAATAATAACAGTAGTTTGGGGTCTTGAATGGGAGCTGAATGGATTGGGGACCAGCTGGGGTAGGAAGATGTTTCAATGCACACTTTTCTATGGGGCACCTGGGTGACACAGCTGATTAAGCACCCAACTCTTGGTTTCGGCTCAGATTATGATCTCAGGATCGTGAGATCGAGTCCCACATCAGGCTCTGTGCTCAATGTGGAGTCAGCTTAAGCCTCTCTCCCCCTCTGCCCCTGCCCTCCCGTGTGTGTGCTTGTTCTTTCTCTCTCTCTGTCTCCCTCTTTCTCTCAAATAAATAAATAAACCTTTTTTTTTTAAAAAAAATGCACTTTTCTATATATTTTAGTTTTGGAATCATGTGACTATATCACCTACTCAGAAAATAAAAAACTCCCATTCTTAAAAATAAATTTCAGGGGCGCCTGGGTGGCTCAGTCGTTATGATCCCAGGTCATGATCCCAGGGTCCTGGGACCGAGCCCCGCATCGGGCTCCCTGCTTGGCGGGAAGCCTGCTTCTCCCTCTCCCACTCCCCCTGCTTGTGTTCCCTCTCTCACTGTCTCTTTCTCTCTCTGTCAAATAAATAAAATCTTTAAAAAAATAATAATAAATAAATAAATTTCAATGGCACCAACTGACACTAATATATTAATAAAATGAATATTTACCAAGTGTCTACTATATGTCAACTAGGTACTATTTTGGACACTGGCAATATAGCACTGAACAAGACAAAGTTCTTGCCCCCTCATAGAACTTATATTCTAGTGAGAAAGAATATATATGTTGATTTTATCAAAAATATACACACACATACAAATAATTCTGAATATAAATAGTATATATATTCGACTATATATATCATGTGTATGTGTGTGTATATATGTGTTTTATATATATGTATGTATATATATATGTATGTATATATATATTTAAAGATTTTATTTATTTATTTGACAGAGAGAGAGAGCAGAGGGAGAGGTAGAAGCAGGCTCCTGCTGAGCAGAGAGCCCGACACGGGGCTCGATCCTAGCACCCCTGGAACCATGACCTGAGCCGAAGGCAGCAGTTTAACCGACTGAACCACCCAGGCACCCCTAAATATATATTTTTTCATAAAATGAATTAAATTGTGCAATATTGTTAGAAGTCATTCAAGGTAAAGGAAGAGTGATGTGGTGGAAGTGGGGTAGTGATGCCTCTGAAGAGTAGGCATTTGAGTAGAGATCTGAATGAAGAGAAGGAAGAAACAATACAGGGGAAGAGCTTTCCAGGCAGCAAAGACCCTGAGGCACAAGAAAGTTTGATGTATTCCAGAAGCAATAGAAACACTTATATAGCCGGAGCAATCTGTGTGAGGAGAACAATGGTAGACAATGATGTTAAACAGATGGTCAGAAGGCAGATCATGTGGGCTTTGTAGGGCAGGAGCAAGGATTTGGGTGTTAGAGGCAGCTATTAAAGGTTTTTAAAAATATCTGAAAGGGGCCCAGAAGCCTGAGAAGAAGGTGGAGTAGGAGGACCCTAAGCTCACCTTGTCCCACAGATACAGCTAGATAATACTCACATCAGTATAAATAACCCAGAAAATGACCCAAAGACTGGCAGAATAAACTCCACAACTAAATGTAAAGAAGAGGCCACATCAAAGAGGGTAAGAAGGGTGGAGAGGACGTGGGAAGCTAAAGGGACCGGCAGGATTGTCTGTCGGAGGGAGGGATCCGCGAACTCAGAGAAGGGAGAGAAATAGACTATGACACTGGGAAGCCTGCATGGGGAAGATGAATCCTCATAATATTTGGCTTTGAAAACTAGAGGGGCCAAATTTTGTGAATACTCACAACCAGCAGGACTTAAAGCCTGGAATTTTAAAAATCTTCGTTCTGGGCAAGCCTGGAAAGTGATAGGAAACTGAGCCCCTGCCCTTAGAGAGACAACACAACAAACAGCCCAGGGAGATACAACATAGAAGCAGTAGTTTGAAAAATGCCTGGGGCATATGACAGGGAGAGTTATTTACTCATCTTAGAGACTGTCCTGGAGAATTAGGGACTGCAGGGAGAGCCCTGCAGGAACAAAAGAGCTGGCAGGTGCCATTTCCCTCACCCGCACCCCCCTCTCCCAACTTGCTTACACCAAGACCTGTCCCCCTCTTCAGTCAAGCTTGCCTCTGTCCAGGACTGCAGGTCCCCTCCCCAAGAAGACCCAAGCAAAGCCTTGCAAACACCATGTCTCCTGACCCATGCACTTTCCGGGGCCTCAGTCCTGGCAGCAGTAGCAGTGGGTACCCCTCTCACAGAGGCCCTGCACACACCATGTTAAAATTGCATGCCCCACACCTGAGTATTTTTATGGTTAGAGAACCATTGAACAGCCAGCCCCATCCCAGCAGTAGAGGCATGTCCCTTCTTCCCTGTGTCCCAACGTTGTGGGCACTGCAGCCCTGTCCTGGAGCATGTTGTGGATCTGCCTGCTCTGATAGGCTTTTGGCTAGAGCCCACTCAAACCAGGGCCACAAGTTTGGCAGTGTGCAAGCAGCCCTGAAAGGGGCCAGCATCACTCCAGAGACTTCTGCCCTGGGGAGAGGGAAAGATAACCACACAAATAAGTTAGACTGTGGCTCCACAAGTGGGCTGGGGCAGATAGCTGGTCTGACTACAGGCCCCCTCCACCAATGAAAGCTTCTCAGGGGACAACACAGGGAAAGTGCCCTGTAGTTGGTGCTACTGCATCTCTGGCAAATGCCTGATCTGACTAAACTCAAGCCCAAGGCAGCCCCAGATTGGCCCACTAACAACATAGGGATCAAACCCTGCCCACAACTGTTAGAGAACCATTGAAGATGACCGGACTGAAGGAAAAAGTGGCTCAGCCACAATAGCAGGGAGCATGCAACACTCATAGGAGACACCCCTGAAGCATCAGGTTCTGGTGAACAGGGGATATTTTACTGCAGGGCATACAGGACCCCTTCTTCATAAAGCCACTACTTTCAAGAGCGGGAGACATGGCTGACTTTCCTAAAACACAGAAACAGACACAGAGAGTTAGACAAAAATGAGAAGACAGAGGAATATGTCCCAAATGAAAGAACAGGACAAAGTCACAGCAAGAGAACTAAATGAAACAGAATAAGTATTATGCCTGGTAAAGAATTTAAAGTAATGGTCATAAAGATACTCATTAGACTTGAGAAAAAAAGTGGAGGCATCAGTGAGACCATTAACAAAGAGATAAAAAAAAAAATCAGAGGTGAGGAATACAATAAATGAAATTAAAAATACACTAGATGGAATAAATAGTAGACTAGAGGAAGAAGAATGAATCAGCGATCTGCAAGAAAGAGTAATGGAAAAGCTGAACAGATGAGAGAAAAAATAATGCAAAATGAGAATAGATTTAGGGAAGTCAGCAACTCCATCAAGCATAATAACATGCACATTATAGGGCTCCTGGAAGATGAAGAGAAAGAAAAGGGGGCAGAAAATTTCTTTGAAGAAATAATAGCTGAAAACTTGCCAAATCTATGGAAGGAAACAAATTCAGGTCCAGAAGGCACAGAGATCCCCAACAAAATCAACCCAAAGAGGTCCACACCAAGACACATAGTAATTAAAGTGGCAAAAAGTAGTGATAAAGAGAGAATTTTAAAAGCAGAAAGAGAAAAGAAGACAGTTACATAAAAAGGGGGAAACTTGTCAGGCTATTAGCAGAAACACTGCAGGCCAGAAGAGAGTGGCATGATATATTCAATGTGCTGAAAGGAAGAAATCTACAGCCAAGAATACTCCATCCAGCAAGACTATCATTCAGAATAGAAGGAGAAATAGAGTTTCTCAGACAAACAAAAGTTAAAAGAACTCATGACACTAAACCAGCCCTAGCAGAAATGTTAAAGGGGACTCTCTGAGTGGAAAGGAAAGACCATAAGTAAAAGTAAGAAGAGTAGGAAGCACAAAAGCAATAAAAATAACTATATCTGTAAAAATCAGTCAAGGGACTCACACACACACACACACAAAAAGGATGTAAAGTATGACACTAGATACCTAAAATGT